AACAAACCCAGATCATGGTGGCCGATCGGCTCTCTGTGACCACCCAGCTCGTCCCTGAAGCTGTCGGGGGGGGGTCAGTGTGTCCTGAAAGCCGAGCACGCAGGATGGTACGCAGTCCTCCAACAGGATACACCGACAGGAAGTTTATTCTCTATGACCATGGGGGGGAACAATGGCAGGAAATGAAGACCACCACCTCCTCCTCCTCCTCTAAAAGATTTTTTTTGTTCTTGTGAAATACAAAGTTATTAAAATGGTTTATTATCTGTTATTGTATTAAGCGCTTGCACTCGCCGGCCACTTTATTAGGTACACCTGACACAAATTGCTAATCAGCCAATCGCATGGCAGCAAACTCAATGCATTTAGGCCTCTAGACGTGGGAAAGACGACTCGCTGAATGTTCAAACCGAGCATCAGAATGGGGAAGAAAGCGGATTGAAGTGACTTTGTATGTAGTTGGTGCCAGATGGGCCGGTCTGAGTATTTATGGGATTTCCACGCACAGCCATCTCTCGGGTTTACAGAGAATGATCCGAAAAAGAGAAAATTTCCAGTGAGCGGCAGTTCTCTGGAGGACAATGCCTTGTTGAGGTCAGTGGGGGAATGGGCAGACTGGTACGAGATGATAGAAAGGCAACAGTAACTCAAATAACCCCTCGTTACACCCGAGGTATGCAGAAGAACATCTCTGGACGCACAACATGTCCAACCTGGAATCAGATGGGCTACAGCCAGAGAAGACGCATCGGGTGCCACTCCTGTCAGCTAGGAACAGGAAACAGAGGCTGCAATTCGCACAGGATCACCAAAATTGGACAATAGAGGATTGGAAAAAACGTTTCCTGGTGTGATGAGTCTCCATTTCAGAGACATTCGGATGGTCGGGTCAGAATTTGGTGTAAACAACATGAAAGCATGAACCCATCCTGCCTTGCAGCAACGGTCCAGGCTGGTGGTGTAATGGTGTGGAGGGGATATTTTTCTTGGCACACTTTGGGCCCGTGATGCTATCCTGTCAATAGGGACCGAAATCTCTGAGGAATGTTTCCAACATTTTGTTGAATCTTTGCCACGAAGAATGGAGGCAGTTCTGAAGGCTTGAAGGGGGTCCACCCCGGTACGGGCAAAGGTGTACCTAATAATGTGGCCAGTGAGTGTATAATTACTTTACAGAAGGGTACGGCCTAAACCTACATTACAGCTTACCTCTAATAGGGAACATCGGGTTATGAGGGTCCTTTTCATTATAGATCATCTGATGAGGAACAGGAGGTATGAGGGTCCTGATCATTCTCTTTTTGAGCCTAATAGGGAACAAGGAATGATACAGAAGGTACTTTAATGGGCATTTTAAGGTAGTGCAGATATACTATATTGCTAAAAGTATTGGGGCGCCTTTACCCGCACATGAACTTTAATGGCATCCCAGTCTTATTCCGTAGGGTTCAGTATTGGGTTGGCTCCGCCCTTTGCCGCTATAACAGCTCCGCCCCTTCTGGGAAGGCGTCCACAAGGTTTAGGAGTGTGTCTATGGGAATGTTGGACCATTTGTGAGGTCAGGTACTGATGTTGGGGGAGGGGCTCGCAGTCTCCGCACTAATTCATCCCAAAGGTGTTCTATGGGGTTGAGGTCAGGACTCTGTGCGGCCAGTCACGTTCCTCCCCCCCAAACTCCCCCATCCATGTCTTTTTGGACCTTGCTTTGTGCACTGGTGCGCAGTCATGTTGGAACAGGAAGGGGCCGTCCCCAAACTCCTCCCACAAAGTTGGGAGCATGAAATTGTCCAAAATGTCTTGGTATGTTGATGCCTTAAGAGTTCCCTTCACTGGAACTAAGGGGCGGAGCCCAACCCCCGAAAAACAACCTCAAACCATTATCCCCCCTCCCCCAAACTTTACACTTGGCACAATGCAGTCAGGCAAGTACCGTTCTCCCGGCAACCGCCAAACCCAAGAAAAAAGAAAAGGCTGGTTGCACTCCTTACCGGTATGACCCCGTGATCGGGGAGGGGTGAAAACCCGATCTCTTACAAATGTCTGTAGAAGCGTCTGCATGCCGAGGTGCCTCATCCTATACACCTGAGGTGATTGGAACACCTGAATCCAATGATTGGGAGGGCGTCCAATACTTTTGGCAATATAGTGTATCTATAATCTGAGCATTTTGAATTCCTCTTTCGATGGAGTTTTGGAAATCTTGGTGGAGCCGATTTTTTTTTTTTTTTTTTTTTTTTTTTTTTTTTT